GCGCGCAAGTTCCGTGTCGCCGTCATCGCCTAGCTGTGTTATTGCGGTTCGGCCTGCATTCACCTCCTCATCTGTCGTGGCAATATCCACCGGGCATACCGGATGAGTTCCAAGTGAGAATTCAGCCACGAAGTCGGCCAATGTCTGGGCTTTTATGGCAGTGCGTGGTTGGAATTTGACGTCAAACTGTCCCAGTTCGACCGCCCACTTGAGAATTCGACCGGAGAAATCCGCCCGTTCGAACAAAGCTTTGAGGGGGAACTCGGTCAAAACGATGATGGTATGAGCATGGAAATAATGCGCCAACTTCCTAGAGGCCATCATCAATGCCAGTGCAAGTTTTTCCAGCGGCAAGTATCTTGACTCTGCCGGTAGCAAGGTTTTGCTGACGTAGAAGATGGGGAGGTGTTTGATTCCTTCTGATCGGACAAGCACCGCACTGACTGCGTGCTGGGAAACGGCCAAATAAAGGTAGAGTTTTTCGCTAGGTTTCGGTGTGACCAACAGGGGCGCTGAAGACAAATACTCCTTGAGCTCGGCCAAAGCCCGGTCACATTCTTTATCCCATGAGAACTTTGATTTCAGAGCTTGAAAGAAAGGGCGGCAGCAATCTGATGACCGGCTTATAAATCGATTAAGCGCGGCAGCCATTCCGGCTAGATGCTGCACGTCCTTAGCCGAGCTAGGCTGCTTTAATTCTTGTACGGCTCTGATTTGTGTGGGGTCTGCCTCGATGCCTCGGTTCGTGACTAGGAAGCCTAAAAATTTTTCGGATCCCACGCCAAAGGCACACTTGGACGCATTCAGGCGTAGCTTGTGTTGTTTGAGAATGGTGAACATCTCGGCCAAGTCGGACAAGTGGTCTGCTTGATGCCGGCTCTTAACCACCATATCATCTATATAAGCCTCCATTGTCCGGCTTAGCAGAGGAGCGAACATCTTGATCACCATCCTTTGAAAGGTTGCCCCGGCGTTTTTCAAATCAAAAGGCATGACTCGGTAGCAGAAGAGTCCCCTTGGTGTAGTGAATGAGGTGATCTCGCGGTCGGGGCCATGCATGGCAATCTGATGATAACCGCGGTAGGCATCTAAGAAACTGAGCCTGTTATATCCAGCCGTCAAATCCATAAGCTGGTCTATTCTGGGCAGTAGAAAGCTATCTTTAGGGCAAGCTCGGTTGACGGTTTTATAGTCGACACAAACTCGCCACTTCCCATTCTTCTTTGGTACAACCATGGTGTTTGAAATCCACCGAGGGTAGTGCACTTCCTGAATAGCTCGTGCCTCAAGCAAGTTCTTCACTTCCTCTGCAACTACCTCGGCGTGATGCAGCGCCGATCTCCTTGTTCGCTGAATGACCGGCTTGGCTCCGGGAAAGACATTTAGGTGATGGCAAATAAAACTCGGATCGAGGTCGGGCATGTCATAAGGTGACCATGCGAAGACCTCGATATTGGCCATCAAAAACTCAACGATCTCGGTCCTTTCTTGTGCGGTAAGGCTGGAGCTGAGCAAGAAGAACCTGTTCGGACTCTCTGTATCAATTCGCACTTCGACCAATTCCTCGACGACTTTGTCCTCGGCCCTTGTGCCAACATCGTCAAGGACTCCTCGATCTTCCGGTCCCTCTATCATTTGGACGAAGCCTTTGGCAGCTCGGCTCCCGTTGAATGCCACGAAGCATTGCTTCGACATGACTTGATCGCCCCAAATCTCCTCAATTGCCCCCGTAGCCGAGGGGAATCTCATCACCTGATGGAAGGTCGACGCTACGGCTTGCATAGTGTGAAGCCATCCCCTTCCAAGGATCAGGTTATAAGTAGATGGCACCTACAACACCCAAAACTCCACTTGCTTGACCACGGATCCCGCTTTGACCGGCAGGATAATTTTTCCCAAAGGCCACTCCGGTTGCGAGTTGAAACCAACCAGTGGCGAAGTTGCTGGAGCCAAGCCTGTATCCCGGAGCTTGAGCTGTTTGAATGCGTCGTAATACATGATCTTGACCGAGCTTCCCTGATCGATCAAGATGCGCTTGACATCGAATTCTTTGACGCAGAGTGTGACCACTAAGGCGTCGTTGTGCGGCGTTTGAATGCGCTCTAGGTCCCTTGTGGAGAAACTGATCATGTCTTTTTCTTCGGTCTTGCCCCTTTTGATCACGGGCTGAACTAACAAAACTTCCCTCATGTGCTCCGCCTTCTTGATCATACCTCGGAGTTCACATACACGCGCTGGTTCTACTATGCCGTGAATGACATTAACCGCATCTTAAGGGGGCGCCTCCAAGTCACCCGGTGCACGCGGATCAACAGGGGCTTGATTTGCTTTCACGCCCCCGTCAATGTAAAGGTCCAGGTGTCCGGATGCGACTAGCTCTTCCAAGTGTTGCTTCAAAGGCAAACAGTCCTCTGTCCGGTGGCCGCGCTCCCGGTGAAATGTGCAACGGTACCGTGGATTGAAACCCTTCTGTCCGTCGCCCAACTTAGCAGGAAATCGGACATAATCCTCGTAACGGATTTCACTAAGTATGCGATAAATTGGAATCTTAAAAACTGTGGTAATGCTTGTCCTGGCCTTCAACCTTCTGTTTGTATCAGCTACGTCGTCGCGGGGGTATTCATCTCGGTCATTCTGTCGACCCCTATCCCAGTTTCGACGATTTGAAGCTCGGTCAGATTCCTTGGCGCGATCATTTGAACGGTTGGTCTCCTGTTCGACTGCGTGCACCTTGCCAGCCGACCTCTTGTCTGTTGCTACCGGAGCTGCCTTTGCCATAGATGCTGCCGCATCATTTTCTACTCGGATGTGCTCGTTGATGCGCTACATTAATTGGCCCATGGATGTCGGCTGGTGCATAGTAAGCGAGTCCCGCAGTCTATGTCCGACTGGGAGACCACGCTTATACTACGTGATTGCAAGGTTGACCGGGCAATCAAAGATCTCGTTGAAGGTTTCCCAGTATCTGGAGTTGTATGCCTTGAGCGTGTCACTCGGCTCCATCTTGACACTGAGAAGGTGGCCAACTTCCTTCGGCGTCTTAGTGTTGGTTTTGAAGCGCGTCACAAGGGCTTCCGCCAACTGCTGCCACCCTTCGATGCTTTCCTCCGGCAACCTCTCGAACCATTTCAAGCCCAGCTCGCCCAAACTTGACGGGAAGATCAGGCACATAAGAGCGTCATTTCGCCTATGTCCGGCCATGACCTGTCGGAAGTGGCTTATATGCATATATGGATCAGTTTTTCCGTCGTAGAGCGTGAACTTTGGCTGGTGGAATCTCGTCGGAAGCAGTGTTATTTCTATCTCCAGGGAGAAAGGAGTGGCGCTCAGCCTCGCCAAGTCTGTGTCTAAAAGGAGAGGCGCAACGAGGCGGGGTGGAGGCATTTTGACCTCTTCACTGGCGTGAACCCCATAGGATAGCCGCTGGAACGCCGGCACCCTCTGAGCCTCCCGCCGGCGAGCCCGTTCCTTCAAGACTGCCCGCAAATCCTCTGATCGAGCGGAATAAGAATACCTCAACGTCGTCGCCGGACGTGAGGGTTGATAGGTGCTGTCTTGCGCGCTGGACTTCTCTACGTGCGCGTAAGAATCTCTAACCTTGTAACTTCTGGTGATTAAGATGGACAGAGTACGCCGCTGGCTCTGACTGCCTGAACGGCGGGGTTGGGTGCGCTCACTGTGGTCTCCCACTCCAGTTACACCCTTCTCATTGACATGCCGCTTAAGATCCTTCATCTCCGCCGCCATTCGTCGGATGACGGCGTCTTGGTCCTTTAGCTTGTTTTCCAATCGTCTGGCATGCGATTCTCTCTGCCGCCGGTGACCATCTGGACTCCGTGAATGACCAAAGCTTCTTCCGCGCTTATCCCGCGCGTCTCTTGAATGTCCTCCTGGAGAAGTCTCCAGGTCCGCCATAGGAAGGATGGCGGGATGTCCTTCTCTCCGTCTGCCTGACTCCGGGGTAACTCCGTCGATGGCAGACAACGGAATTTCGTCGTTGTTCGCCATGGATGGCGATCAGATGAGCCTGGAAGACAAGGTTTTGTTTGTCAAGTTCCCACAGACAGCGCCAATTGTACGGGGAGCAAATATTCCAGCAAGCCCGTACTCCTTTCTTCCAAGCTCCTGTCTGTCCGATCGACCTACGAGCACAACGGCGGTGAGCTACCCGGCGGTGTGTGGCCGGAATATCCCTCCGACGATCAAGTTAGACACACACAGGGATAGAGAGAGAGAGGATTAAGTGTTTTGTGTATATCTCACCAAATGTTGATCTACCTCGGCATGGGGGGCACAGACTCGCTTATATACCTTCTGCGCCCCAAATCTACTCCCATTAGTCTCTCGACACGTGGTGCTGCTATCCCATCTGTCAGCGCAAATCTAGCTGAACATCACCTAACCAAGCTGCCAGCCCACACTACTGGGAGCTCGGCAGCCGGGCTGCAGCATCTCGGCTGCCAAAGGCCATGCTGTGTTGCTAGCCAGAGCGCTCCGCTCGCCAAGCTCAATGACAACCGTGCTCGGTTGCATTTTGGCATAGCCGAGCTCGGGACAGCTCATGCTGGTTAGCCGTCGGCCTTCTTGCCAGGCTAACCCACGAACTGTGGAACTTAGTGAGGCAGCGCACATCTCGGCTGAACCATCACTCGACCGGTCTCTGCACCCTGAAGCCAAGTAGCTCGGTTCAACCATGCCTTGTTTTAACCGAGCAAAGCCCTCCTGGGCAGGCCCATGCTACCACGGCCCAACTGTGTTTGGCCCAAATCTGCCCGGTCATTACCACGGCCCAGTCCAGATCATAAATCTCCCTCTCACACACGATTATGATGTTACATATGTATAATATACTCTGTTTTTTTACCTTAAATGAATTAATGTGTATTTATATTTTGGCAATCCCTTTCTTTACAAAACAGGTATTTTTTATCATTAATTATTGATTCAAGAGATTTCTTTCATGTTATTGAATATTTATATTGAAGAAAACATTTTGACAGACTTGGTGTAGGTGGATTTGATGCCTCCTGATTTTGCTGGATTGTGGAGTACAAAAAGGGGTTGTTTGTTTATGTAATAATTGTCATAGCATGAACTTAAGATTTGATGGAAAGCATGGAGATGAAAAATGTTGACTTTGGAAAGATAAAAGTGGCTGTTTGTCTTTGGATAGACTGACAAAGAATGGGCTAAGAAGTCTTGATGGAATGTTTTGGAAAAGGTCTGCAAGCTGTGAGTATGACTGGCAAGACATAGGCTGAAGAGTTGTAAGAAATCATGGCAAAAGTTTGTGAAATGGCCGAGACATCATTCACCATCGCACCCCCGACAGTGACCATTGCGCCCGCAATGTGTAGACATTGCGCTTGCGAATAAGTTGCGATGCCGCTGAGATCAAAACATGTTCCCAGTATCTTCTCAACATCTGTCTTCTGTGCACGCGAAAGACATTATCGCCCCTGCGATATTCAAAGGTCGCGCCTGCAAACTGTCCGCGACCAAAGCACCTCCCAGTATCTGCCTCAGCATTCATCTCTGCAGCCTGCAAAGAGAAGACCGTGGCTGCAAATGCATATGTCGCGCCCGCGACAAAGAAGGTCGCACCCGCGATGGTGGTTTCTCTATATATATCGAGCTTGTTCTGTTTTGTGACTTACCGCTTCCCATTCTGAAGTTTGAGACTTTTCTGAGAGTGTTGTAGTGAGGTTATCTTGTATCCATCTCTCATGTTTACTTGATGATTCATTTGTATTTTTATGTCTTTCTAGTAATCATCAAGTTTGTAAAAGACATCTAAACAGTTTGTAAGTGTTCTTGGTGGATTCCAAGAACTTGAGTTGTAAGCTCTGGTGGATTCTAGAGTGTTCTTGTCGTGGACTTGACATTATTGTTGTGGATTCAATAGCGGAGGCGGATATCCACAAGATGAAGGATAGAGGTGGACCTACTTGAAGATCTTGAGCAAACTTGTGTGCCTGGATTGGTCTTTGTAAGAAATTTCTTGTATTACTCTTCTTCATAGTGGATTATTCTTCTAGTTGAGAGCCCGTGGTTTTTTATCACATGTTGGTGGATTCTAATTGTGATTTTTTCATATAAAAATCTATGTTGTGTTTGCTTTTAATATTTTCTTTAATAGTTAATCATAAGTGTTTTGCACTTCTAAAATCAATAATCACGAGATCATGAGACTAAGATTTTTCATACTCGGATGGTTTTCTCATTTTATAAAAAGATTTATGTCAATTGGCTAAAACCAAACATTTCCATTTAAAATGCATTTTCCAATTTCATTACTATTAACCAGTTGAATCCTTTCAAGTGCATGTATATGCTAGTGGTTATTGATAGGCATCACCTAATCTAATGAGCGATCAGAAGCTACTGTGTAGGTTTTCGGTTCATAAGCATCACCTAAATGCCACCAAATTTACTGTTTTTTAACCGGAAGGAACTTAGCACCACTGCACGGATTTTCGGTTCACTGTGGATTATCGAGCCAAGTTATCTCATTCTCATTTCCATCTATACATGATCCGGATTCACCATTTTCATTCACTTAAAACTCAATTGTTTAATTGCATTAATGCAACCAATGTTTATTAAACGGGATCGAACTGGCCGGTAGAACAGGCGACCGGATCTAGTTTAAGTTCAGATGACCCCAAAAAACTGGACTAGGCCAAAAAATGGCTTTTTCTGCAAGAATCGGGAAAACTAGTGGTTCAACTGACAAAATCGGTGAATTGGCCCTCGTTTTTTACTAAACCCCTCGATCGAAATTTTTATTTTTATTTTTCTTCTTTTCTTTCTGTCTTTCTTTCCTATATATATATATATATATATATAAATATATCAAAGTTTTGACTAAAAATTCTTCAAGAGTACTCTCATTGGAAGTTTGAGGAGATTATGAGATTTATTCCTATTTATAGAAAAAGAATATTCAAAGAGAACATAAAAATTCTATGTGAGATTCTATCAAATTATTTGAATCATGTTGATTGGAGGGAGAGTTGAAAATTTCATTTCCTTCCAAAATTAAATATAGTATTCAATCAATTTGTTTAGAGGGAATGTTATATATATTTTTTTATTTCTTTAAAACTAGTGACTTTTTTTTTTGTTTTTATATTTTTATGACTTTATTAAATATTATTAGTAAATACTATCCAACAAAATTTTTATTTTATTCTAGTATTTATATATTTTTTTAAATTTATAATTTTATTACTTATATTTTTATTTAAATATAATTTTAATATATTTATTACGTCACGGTTTGATTCTGGTTCAACCCGACAGTTGAACTGATGACCCGTCCACCTGATCCCTTTTTCGATTCGCTTTCAAAACATTGAATGCAACTCATGTCATTATTCAATTCCGATAAAATGTACTCGACACACTTCCGTTCAACAATGGGTTTTAGCTCCATGAATTCAAGAATTGACTATGCATTAAAATGGGTTTTTGTCATCTTATTGTGTTAATTTCTACAACAATACCATTCTCCACCAATGGCTAACAATAATCTCTACCAATGCTATAATTTCATAAATTATACACATTCATCTCCAATTTCAATATAACACTACCAATTTCTCATTTTGCATAATTTCACAAATTAGGACTTTTCACAAATTGGGGCTTTCTCAATTTTAAGTACCCTCATGCAATTTTATACAATGGAAATACGTTTAATAAGAAAATTAAAGAGAAATACTCAACTACCACGAAACCCTAATCCTCTATCATGGAATTTCTCAAACCTCCATCGATAATTCAACATTTGCGTATCAAAATACGGCATATACATCCATAAACCCATATTAAACAAATGAAAGGAAAACCATCTCTCTTGAAGAGAAGAGGAGAAACACAAATTCTTGAAATTATCTGAATCAACTTTTGGTTTGTGTGAAAACGTAGCTCTTGTTGAGCTCTACAATGTTACTACTAAAGTTGGAGATCGGTTCCAACTCTAAGGGCTTCAAAAGTGAGGTAGAAGTTTGGGAGTTATGGTGGAGAGTGGAAATATAGAGAGAGAGGAGAGAAATAGAGAGAGGAAAAGAGAAGTGAGGAGAGAGAAAGAAGCATCATATGTTAAAATGGGGTTAAAAAATACAAGGCTGAGAGGCTGCCACGTTACAGTTCTCCAGGCCTGGCCGCACGTGCGGAGCCCATGGCTGCACTTGCGGTTTCATGTAGTCCAGACCCATAATTTCCCACACGGCCGCATGTGCAGAGCTGACCGCCACACGTGTAGAACCCCTCACCGCACGTGTGAGAAGAATCCATCGCACATGTGGGACTCTGCCCAACAGCTCAATCTTTCCTGCACCAATTCGTACATGCGGGACACTTTGGCTGCATGTGCAGTCCCACCTGTCGAAGTTCAATTTCTCAAGAGTAGTTATTTTTTTGTCTTTATGCTCGAAACTCAATTATTAAAAATGTTATACGCTAAATAGGAATTAAAATTGACTCAACCACAATAAACAAAACATGATTTATCACATTAACAGTTCGAAAATGTATCAGGGCATCCACATAAGTGGGTTCAAGTTGGGTTTAAGACCTGGGACGCTACAATGGAGTTGGTATTATAACATGGATGATTTTAGACTTGTGGAAATGCTATTAGAGTGCTTGTCATGGCATTGGCTGTACGCATAGTGAATTAGCACTGGAACCACTTGATGGCTTGAGTGGTGAATATCATTGCCTTCTTAAATATCTATGCCAGATATAGCTAGAAACAAGCAACAAACTCCACCATAAAGCCCAGAGCTATGACACAATGTCCCTAATGCAAAAAATAGAGAAACAACAGAAGAAAGAAAATAGCCTCTGCCATCTCTTATGCTTGCCATGTCTATACCTAGTCATCAGTGTCTCACCTCACATCTGCTGCTATCAATTATTCAACTTACGCTCAATCTTGTATATCTACAAAAATTAAGCTCCTGCATTTGCATAGGCTTAAGAATGCACTTTGGAGGCAGTAAATCACGCAAATGATGCTAGAAGTTACATCTGAATCTAGTTCATTCCCTGATTCATTCCCTCAATTGGTTGATAGAGGTGCATTGGTTGATAGTTAATGATCTTTTCGACTCGTACAATGCTAGATGGTTAATCAATTGGAATTACAGGTTATCGATGATGGTTCAACTGCTCCAAGATCATAGGATTTTTTTTTCTAATATGAAAATCATACTTCAACAAAGCCTACTTGCTATCTTGGCAAAAAACACTACGGTAATAGTGTGTAGAGATGCACTAGCTAACCATGTGTGTGAGAACCAATTCTGTTTGACAAATTATATCCAAAGTGTTATGTTTTCACAACCCAAATTGCTTCAAATAAATTACGAAAATGAAAAATTCTTTTGTATGTATTAATCAGAGGAATTTGGGACACACGGTTTGATTTGGTCTGTGTGTATCAGGTGTGGGAATGCAGTCGATGAAATGAATTTAGAGCACTTGAAAAAAGAGATCTGAATCAAGCTGTTTTTCCAAGTTGTGACATCCCCCAAAATGTCGCCCCATAATAGCAAAATCTTATTACTTCGGCAAGGATGAGTGCTGCCAGAAAGCCATGGAACTCACTGGTATGCATGTGATGGAAACTTGGCATCAAACTGTAAGTGGAGATTCAGAAGCAGAAGCAGAGGCAAAGGAGAGAATGGACAACAAAACAACTTGTTAATATATAACTATACTTGTATATAATTACAATATAAGTTAGTAATATATTATAATGCAGCATAGGATTCACCTTTCGGCCCTTTCGGTGGTGCGCCATCTTTCGGCCACTTTGTTCCTTATTATATTCAAAGGCATCATCATCATGTTTGTAACAAACTCCTATATTAAGGAGCCTCGCAGACTGAATTCATGACTGAGAATTTACATTATAATTCTCTTTCAATATTACTCTCTCAATTTATAATTTGTCTTTCAATATTTGTTTATCACAACTAATGAACCATCATTACCCAAGATAGGTTTTTTTGACATAGTGTGAGGGGCTAGTCAGATAACTCAAAATTGACTTATATGTTGTTCTCTTTTCAGATTGGCTACAAATTTGAAAAGGATAGTTTGACTTAGTTGTGGACTGTGGAAGGTTAGAAGTGAAAAGTTTGATAATATGTCAAAGTGGAAATTTGCGGTATTTGATCGTTTTTGGTTATTGGTTACCTTATAAAATACGGGCATCTATGGCATCGGTACTTGAAAGAGAATCTTTGGCACCATTATGATAGCGATTTCGGTCCTTAACCCATCTCTTGTTGTATTCCGAACTCGGGTTGTATGGGTTCGAAAGGTTATTCATATCTTGTTTCCCTTGCCCCCCCTCTATTTTTGGTTATTTGGTTGTAATTGTGCGTTTGAAACAGGTTGGTTGCTTCCTTTTCAAAACTTGTGTTGCCCAGATTTGGCCTCTCCGCTCGAGCGGGCTTCACAAATTTTGCTCCTCTGCTCGAGCGGCCATTCCCGCACTTGAGCTGGATTCTATAACCCTCAGCATTTTTTTTGCAGGTCTGCAGATGCTGGGAGAGTGCATTCGACGCTCAAGCGCCCAGTTTCACGCTCGAGCGGGAGTCTATGTCTGACGCTCGAGTGGGGATTCCCACGCTCGAGCGGACTGCGCGTATAATAGTCCGAGAAGATGACATTTTGAATCATTTTTTCTTCTCTTTCTCTTTCTCTCTCTAAAACTTTCCAAAAAATTTGTTCTTGAGCCTCTCTCTCTCTAGAATTCACCTCTCTCTAGGATTTCATTTAGATCCATTGGGATTTCCAACCCTAGTGCCTTTGAGAAAAAGGTAGAGCTCGCTAAGATCTTCGTTTTGAACCGAATAGAAGCGTGTTTCAGCATTCTTGGGATTTCACCCTTGCTTGACTCGTTATCTCTCTTTGAGATAGAGATCTTTCTACACCTTCATATGATATTTAGCTTAGTTATTGTCTTTTGTGTAACAATGGTGTGACTTGGAGATGTTTTAAACAAACCTAGGGTTTGGAACATAAAATACAAAGAGGGGTT